CAGATAAATCAACAGTGGGAAGGCAACAGGACATGTCAGTATACCAGCCGAAGCAATGAAGTCAAATATAAAAGTAACTGCAAGTATGTTTTATGTTCTATTCAGGAACGTTTAGGGGTGTCGATTAACTGGAAAAACGACACCTCATCAAGATACCCAAGAAGGAGATCTGAGCTACTGTGAGAACGGTAGAGACATCACACTACTAACAGTACTAGGAAGGAGTCTCAAGAGTGTTGATGAGCCGGATGAAAGATTCAGTAGACACTTGTTTTTGAGGTCAACTGGGTGGATTGCGTGAAGACTGGTCTTGCGCAGAACAAATCGCAACATTATGGATTAACGTTGAACAATTAATCGAATGGAACTCGTCACTATGCATCAACTTCCTTGACTATGGAAAAGCATGTGATAGTGTGATGAGGAGAACATTAAGAAATCTTCTTCAACGCTATAGTGTAACTGAGAAGATCTTAAACATCATACAGAATTCATACGACGGACTACAGTGTAAAGTCGTGCATGGACGAATGTTGATAGATGCATTCCAAGTGATGACCTGTACCATACAAGGCTGCTAACTCCCACTTTTTCTCTTTTTTTTCTGCTGGTTGACTGGATTATGAAGACTTCGACATCTGACTGGAAGCACGAAATAAAATGGATAGCTTGGATGCAATTAGACGAGTTGAACCTCGCAGTTTTTTTAGCTCTTCTATCCCATACACACTAACAAATACAGCTGAAGACAACTAGTGCAGCAGTAGCCTTTGCAACAATAGGCCTCAACATACACACAAAACTAAGCAACACGGACAGAACTAACTAAACCACTTTTGATGGAGAAGCATTGAACGACGTGGTAATTTTGTGTATCTGAGCAGCATCACCGATGAGTAAGCAGGATCCTATACAAACGTAAACGCGAGGACTGGCAAAGTAAGGACAGCATTCTTACGATTGAAGAACATACGGAACTCAAAACAACTGTCAACCAATTCCAAAGTCAGAATCCTCAATACGAACGTCATGATAGTTGTACTGTACGAAACTGAAACTTGGAGAACTAATACAACCATCATCAAAAGTTACAAATATTTATTAACAGTTGTTTATACAAGTTACTCAATGTCCGATGACCGGATACCATCAGCAATAAACCAACTTCCATCTGAAGAGGAAATTAAGAAAAGACGTTGGAAGTGGATAGGGCACACATTGAGGAAATCACCAAATAGCATCACGAGGAAAGCTTTAACTTGTAATCCTGAAGGGAAACGAAGAACAGGTAGGCCAAAGAACACACTTTATCAGGATTTGGAAGGTGACATGAAAAGAATGAATAGCAACGGAAAAGACCTGGAAAGGATTATCTAGGACAGAGTTGGATGAAGAATACTAGTGGTCAGTCTATGCTCCTCAATAAGGAGTAACAGGCGTAGATAAGTAAGTAATTATCTGTTAAAAAATTTTAGCTTTGTAAAACCTACCAGTTATATCCTTTTAACATTCACATTAATTTATAAAGTAACTTCGGATAATCTAGAAATGAACCAGAAACAAACAATGAAAATCTATTCAAAAAACTTACAGTCAAATAATCATTCTTTAAATGTTTCATTCATATTAAGCATTAACTAACTAACTAACTAACGATTTAAATGGAAGACCAACTTATTCACTTTATTTTTCTATCATTTAAATATAAAGTAGAAAAATAACAAACGATTTAATTCATTTCTAAGGTCATTTAACAACATACATTAGGATACTCTTATATAAATATAAACTTATATCATTTTTGCAAAAAGTTTCTCTATTTAAAATGAACTCCAGTTTCTCTTTTTTTTTCTTTTTTTCTTTTTTTTTTGAAAAAAATTGACCTGAAAAATTATAATTACACTCGTAAAACTTTAATGTTTTTTTGTTTTTGGAAGAAAAAAAAGAACGAATGTGCTACGGAAAAAGGGGAAAAAAACCTTGAATAAAATCTTTCATCAATAATTTTTTTTTCTATTTTTTTTTAATAAAGTGAAATAGCCATAGAAGAAAACTGTTTATTATTTCGTTGAAAAACTTAATTGTATCATCTCTTATTTGTTGATGAAATACTTTAACTGATAAAATAAACCCCTATTAGTTCTAATGGATATATATTGTAGTGAAGGAGAACACATGTGAGGACAACCGAATTATATTTGGCACAACATTACAGAGTTACTCGGTAAAATAGAACAACCATAATATAATATCTAATTTTCAAAATGTTCAATAACTATCTCGGACTTCATTGTTCTTACATTTCTATACTAATTGCTTTCTATTCACGTTCTTCCTTTCTTGATCTCCCCAATCTTCTGCTGCCTGACATTACATTCCTGACTCGCGTTATATACTAATTATGTCAATATAAGTAGCATGCACCACACTCGTCCTCCTTTTAATAAGGTGTCTTCGTAGTCTTTCTGATCGCTGTACAGCTGTCCTCTTTGGTGCTGTTCGTGAGTTACATTCATAATGATTTCGGAACTATCTCTGCACTTGACTGGCATTTTCGCGCTTCTGCTTGTCTTCTCTCCGGATCGTGTAAACCGAGTCACGTCTCTCAGTGATAATATACGGTCCTTCCCACTTTGGGATCAGCTTTCCCACCCTAATCCCCGTTCTATGTTACTTTTCTGTTCTCTACACATTATTAGGTCCCCCACTGCAAAAGGTTTCCACGTTCTCCTTTGTTGTTGTGCCCTCTTTATATCTGATATTTGTTTCTTTTCCACGTTCCTTACTGCCTCTCTCCTTTCTTTTCTCAACCTTGTTGTCGTCCACTCCAGTTGTTGTGGCCAGGCCTTATTATGCATTGGTAGTTGTGACTTTCAGCTATTGATGATCAAGAAAGGTGACTTCTTGGTTGTTCCTTGTTTGGAGGAACGATGCACCACAATATATACATATATATATGAGAAGAGAATAATTTTAAATTGAGAAATATAATATATTCTGAGATGATGGAGAAGATTTATAGCTCAGCTGGATGATTTTGATGGAGTTTATACTGATGATTTCATTCAGAAGAATGATGAAATCTCCACAACTAAACCATTCAGGTTAAAGAATAAAATTTCATTAAAAACAATACATTCTTATCATGTTTTTTTTAAATACGAAAAGTTTAAAGAAAATATCATGAGAACAAAGAATTCATTACTCTTTAATCATAAATTAGAGGCCTATTTGAATATCTGGGCTATCTGTAGATATCTTAATAAATTAGTTGATTTTTGCTTGTTTTAATATATCATTATGTTTATTAATTGCACAACCGATTAAGATACGTTTATGAATAATGTTTACTGCTTTTTGCTATACAAGTTGCATAAAAATGTCCAGTCAGAGACATTATGGTTGCTGGCAATATACAGTGAAAAGAATGTACATTATTTAAATATCGATTCCTGGATAGCTTACTTCTAGCTGGCGACCACTCAGTATTTGTCGTCAGGATTGACCAAGCATTAAGAAACGGAAACTTGTTAAAATATTTTGTGCTGAGAATTCTATATTGTACCAAAAATATAATATTGAATAAATGTTAGGTTTGAAGCGGTTACGAGTTCACTTAGACTGCGAAAGGAACAAAAACTTGTGACCAAAGACCAATAAACTAGCTAATCTATTGCGTCCCAGCCCCGCTAACTAGAGAGAGAAATCGAAGTCCGAACAGGGAAGTATATTCCGCAAAAAGCCAGAAAACGAGCGATAACAACGGACACGAATCAAAACGTATATATACAGCACAAAACCGTCCTTAGGGAGAAATAAAAAATAGCATACTAAAAGATACAACGGACCAATAGCATTTAAGATTCTCCCAAGTGAGAAATACGACATGAAGATGAAATGAGTGCTTTTGACGTGAAAACAAAGAAATTCAAATTTTATAAATAAAATTACAAAAGTAGGTTTTTTTTTTCAAGTGAGTTCTGGGGATCTAACCTTTCTGTCTAAAGATTGTAATAAAAAAGTTAGTTTACTTCACTTTCAAAACATTATTCATATAATTAAAACTAGATATAATGTGTGTTGATTAAAGCGGTTTGTATCACTATCCAACGTCAACGACAATAAAAATGTCTCATTACCATAGATATTTATGATAATTTTAATCGGTGAAAAGTATGAATGCTTTTTGATCAGGTTATGGTCTATAGTAAATACTTATAGTAAATGCTTAATTTGCAAAATGTCCATCACTTATCTTAAAATGACTCAGACTTCATTATTCTTGCATTTTCATACAAATTGCATTCTGTTTCCATTCTTTACTGTTTGATCTTCTTGTCCCTCTGCTGCCAGATCTGTTTACGACTAACATCATATACTACTTACGTCACAATAAGTATCACACACCACAACAGTACTATTCTGGTATGTACTACTCGTACGACCAGATAAAGTAGTATATGTCAAGAATTGAATGTAGGATTCTAACGGACAGGAGAGGAATATGGTAAAAAGAGAAAGAAAAATAGAAGGCACTCAAAATAAGAACAGGAAGAGAAGAAAGATAAGTTGGTAAGAAGCAATTTAAGGAAGATTGGCAAATGGTGTATTGCGTGATTTTGAGTATTAGATGGTTTTCTACCAAATGCCTCCTTAATTAAACCACTAGAATGTTAAGACGAAAAGTAACTCATTTGATTACTATTAAATTTTAAGGCATGATACATCTGAACAACAAATCAACTTTGACATAAATGGAACAATCATCCAGTTCTCACTAGTTTCCAGTAGTTTTCCAATTGATGTCAATCTTTGATAAAAAACAATTTTGGATTCACCTTCGTCAAAATTTGATATTAGTGTTTTGAGTTTCTAAATTTTTAATACTCAAGATTACACTTAAGATTTATCTCCCAAACTTGATTTGTTCTATTGTAGGTCATGCCATATTATTATTATTAATATCATTATTTTGTTCTTCACTTCCAATAAATTTTTAGACTCAAAAAGGGACAAGCCAAATTTCAGACTGTGGTAAACATTATGAAGATCATAGTAAACATTTATCTAGATATATGATGTATATTAGTAAGAAACTAATCAGCTGGTTTAGCCAAACAAGTACCAAAAATGAAGTTTTCAATCATAATGATATAAACGAAAATTCAATGAATTATCATTCCGATAACAAAATTTTATATGAAGATTCTATCAGTCAAATTGAACATGAAATGTACAATATTAATAGTAATAATAAATCTACACTCCAATGGACATCGAATGGTGTAAATATTCAAATACCTACTATAGAACAAGAAACATGGAATCATTTGGAACGTACCAGTTGGTTACCTTATTTAGATACAGTTGATGATTATCTAAGAAAGGTAAATAAACAAAGGTGTATAGATATATTGAAAGAATTGGTGAACTGTCATTTGATTTTTAACAGTTGTACACTTGTATAAAGTATCTATTTTTAACGATAAAAAGATGAAGTGGCTACTTTAAATTTTGTATACTTTAAGAGGATAAATATTGACTGTACTTCAAAGTTACCAGTGACAGTTGTTTAAAAGGTCTAAGGTTTCAAAATACAAAATAATATCATTTTAAGGATGGTAATCCATATTTTTTGGTATTTTTTCCCATATGATGACTAACGACCTAACGACTAATTTACTAAAATGTGTTAGGTGAAACTAGGCCCGGATAAATGTGGAGGGTTGGGCATGGTGTTGGTGACCCCATCACCTAGGAAACTTACTTACTTACGCCTGTTACTCCCAATGGAGCATAGGCCGCTGACCAGCATTCTCCAACCCACTCTGTCCTGGGCCTTCTTTTCTAGTTCCATCCAATTCTTGTTCATTTTTATCATGTCTATTTCCACTTCTCAGCGTAATGTGTTCTTTGGTCCTCCTCTTTTCCTTCGGCCTTGAAGATTCCATGTGAGTGCTTGTCTTGTGACGCAGTGGGTGCTTTCTTCAATGTGTGTCCTATCCACCCCCAGTGCTTCTTCCTGATTTCTCCCTCCACTGAGATGTGGTTTGTTCTCTGCCACAGTTGGTTGTTGCTAATAGTGTCCGGCCAATGGATCTGAAGTATTTCGCGTAGACAGCTGTTAATAAACACCTGTATTTTCTGGATGATGGCTTTCGTCGTTCTCCAGGTTTCTGCCCCATGCACTAAAACTGTCTTGACATTTGTATTGAAAATCCCGATCTTGGTGTTGGTTGACAGTTGCTTTGAGTTCCAGATGTCCTTCAGTTGTAAATATGCTGCTCTTACTTTACCGATCCGCGCTTTCACACCTGCATCAGATCCACCGTGTTCATCTAAGTTGATTAATCCTTTCTGTAACTTGTCAATCTTGTAACTATCTGATCAAATCTAAAAGCGATTAATTTAACAATCATCAATCATTGTTAAAATCACATAACATGTGGTATTTTAAAACAACCAGTTACCTGAACAAATAATTTTCATCTCAATAGTTATGAGTTCGAAACATGGTACATCTACTTCTAATTCTTGGTACTCAGAAATAAATTTAGAACTTGAAATAAACTACTTTGTTTATTGAGCTTTAAATTATTGAAATAATTTGTATGTAATGTATATAACACCAAGTGATTCATTTCATCATCCAAAAAGACTTATCTGTTTGTGTATACATTTATCTAATACTCGGCAAGATTTCATATTCACAGATATACAGAGTAATCTATACGTTTGTTAAGTCATTAAACTGACTAATACAAAACGTATGTTGTATTCAGTTTACAATTGTAAATCCTGTTGCTACCTGATCATTAACCATAAAATATACAAGATTCTAAGTATTGAAATTGAAAAATCAATTCGTAGAACTTTGTTTAAAACAGCCTATCAAATATCCAATTTCCTTATTGTTTAATTGAAATATTCTTTACTCAACCTTTTGTATAGACAAGAGATGATCTGGATACGAAAGTTATTGACTACTGGGCACCATATGATCAACTTTTAGCTAATCTTCTTACAAATCCATGGCTTGCACCAGCATATAGGGCATTAAATACATCATGGTTACAAGAGAGGCGTATATCATTCATGGATCGAACGTATTTTGGTTTAGTATCAAGTGATTTTTATTCGGAAGATGAAAACCAATCGTCAAACGATTTAACCGCTTTAAATGGTGCCAGAGAAACACAATCTTTAATGCTAGCAAATTTCATTGGTGTTCCACAACCTGCACATGCTCGTTTGGCTGGTACAAGAATTTGGAATAGGTAAGCCATTTGAAATAACATCGTTATGTTTTTGCTAGCTAATTCATCCTCTTATCTAAACAGACGTGTTTACCGATGGAAAATAAGTTGAAAGATATCTAGAGGAGATCAAATCAAAATTTGACATCAGACTGTGATCTCAGCAATTAGTGGTCCGAGCAGAGTTGGCAAATCCAGACTATATTTTTGAGATAATCTATTGAGTTCGTTGGAAGTTCATGTAACCACATATCATAATAGCATAGCAAGGATGTAAATATAAATATTATGTAAAGGAACACTCTACAACACTGGTATTAATATGAACGAAGGCTCAGGTAATGTATTATGTAAATTTACACACTGTGTTTATAAAGTATGAAAACAACAAGTTAATTATACCATTTACACGTCCTTCTGAACACATCAATCAAGTCTCTGACGTCCGATAATAGTGTCTTCAGTAAACTTCAGAAAACTGGGGATTAGCTATTAATTAATCACCTTGTAAGATTTGAAGGTGTCGATGTGATGTCCTATATCCAAGAGATGTTTGGTAATTGCTCTGTTTAAAGTAGTTCTCTGTTCTAATTGAAGGCTTTTTGGAACATGTCCGAAAAATCTCAAATATGCCTACTTTTCGTTTAGGCAAACGTAGCTGCTGTGAAAGTTGAACGTACAGTTGACGGTACATGAATGAAATACTTGTCGACTTTTTATCGAGTTACTGAACACATTGTTTTAAACAGAATCACTTGTTCGGCTGCTGGAAGGTTCTGGTTAATACTTCGCTAAAAATCCTACTGATTGTGCTTGTGCTTTCCTCAACTCCGAAGTTGAAATTGACATTTACTGATATTTTTATTGACTATAGGCAAATCGGTCTTGTTGTATTTAATCTCTTTGCATTTCAGTAGAGAGATATCCAATAAAGGTTAACAATCTTTTTAGTCTCTTAATCATTAATTATCTTAAACATTACAAAATGAAATAATATCACCAATATAATCAATAAGATTTTTACCCCTTCGAGTTTCTGAGTTGAGGAGATTAAATTGGTAAATAGGTTAACATTGTCAACTAGCTGATATTTGTGCGCCTCGATCTTTGCTTTCATCTATAGGATTATCGTTAATGACCTATATACTTGTATTAAAACAAATTAATTAATAAAATATTATGATCATTTTACAAAATATAGATCAGTCTATGATTAAATTTATCAAGTATTTTTGTTATAAAAAAGGTGTTTCTTCCTAACAACAAGGTCAATTAAATAATCTCCTTTGTTCTACTAACTTTTACTAAGGTCTTTTTATTTCCGTTGTACTAAATGTATAGATATATCTATATATATGTAAATACAAATATGGGGGTGTATTACAAGCAGTTGTATAGTGGATACTTCCATAATCACGAATAAAGGAAATCAATAATTAGGTCTCCTTAACAATAAGCTAATGAAAAATAGTCATAAAGTTCAGAGTGAGCTCTTTTATGAAAAAAATTGAATAGTTTTATTTCATTCATTCAAGCAAACACTGAACCTTAGATTAAAGAAAATTTTCTCGGATTATATATTTCAGAAAACTATTGAAACTCATCTTCTAGTTAACTAGACTTGACTATTATCTCAAAATTATCTAGATCGGTGCGATCACTGAAAAGTTATAGATTTGTTAATGGTTATTATTGATATATCTGGTGAATAAACAAATTAAATAGGTGTACATACAACAGTTTAGTATGTTATTCATTGTCTTGAATCAATATTGAAATAATATGCGCATGAATACATTAAACTACATTGGTTTGAAGTGATTATCATTATTGCATCACACTGTGACAACATCACTTTACTGCATAATCATAGAGATATTCTAGATATGAATGTCAGAGATGTTCTTTTAAACAGCTTTTGGATTATAATGAATCAAAATCAAAGTTCTGTCGAAACTGTCTTTTATGAATAATTTTGACTCACTAAATTGTTGACTTTTTACCTTCAGCATGACATAAGCGAAAGAGCGTGCTAATTTGTTGTCATTATGAAGGAGTCTCGAGGATTTCTGTCTTTGTGAGTTCTATAACAAAATGACTGAAATTTACAATAGTGCCAAGTCAGTGGCCTAAATGTTTGGCACTCCCTGGAGGTTCATAGGGTTTTGAGTTCGAACCCTGTTAAGGCTGTAAATATTCATTCCTGGCGAGTTTCATCCCAAAATAACACCGTTTACAGCTTTTCTCCATAATATTTTTAAGCAACAAAAATAAATGTCTAAAAAAGAATCTCGAGTGAGCAAAAAACAAACGTATAGTTTAAATGTGGTCTGACATATATGTGTATCTGTCCAAGTTTCCAAGTATCATTTCTGTAGATTGTAAGAGAAGTTGTTACCAACTGAAAAGGAAGAAACATTTAAAATAAGAATGGTAATTAAACTGGTTTACTTAACACCAGAAATATAAAATATAATGGATAATCGGGGTCAAAAACTGAAAATTACTGAATCATACAAAACTAAAGGCTTAAAAGTAAATTAGAAAGTTATTAAAACTTCGTCACTACTTCTAATTTTAGCTCGTATCAAACGAATAAAACAAATGAGTTCTAGTACGAAGCAGTGACCAGTGGAATTCAACCGGGTCTGTTGTGAGATAATAACTCACTGATGACACTGGTGGATGTGTCGCTCAATTTCGTGGATTAATTGAAATTAGACATTAACACTGTTGAATGCCGGCTATTTCAATGGTCTAGATGTTAAGCGCTCGAACGCGAGACTGATATGTCCTGGGTTCAAATCTCATGAATCGGGTTAGTGGACAGGCACTGCTGAGGAGTCCCATAATAGGACAAAACAGTCGTCCATCGCTTCTAGGTTTTCCATAGTGGTCTAGCTTCATTTGACTCATGATCTCAAATATTAAAATTACTATAATATCCACAAAGAAACTCCTTCTGATATGAAATAAATGATAGCTAATTGTCTGACTATGATTTCTTTCATTTTCATATTATTCCCTCTGTTCCATATTCCTAATTCATTATGCATTCAATTACGTTCAACTGATATATTTCTTCATTATGACTGTCTACATATCTATCAATCAAACTACCTACATGTCTATACATTTATCTGTCAATCTGTCCATCCTGTTTATTCCATTATGATGATGAAGATTACTGTCTTACTTTTGAGTAAAATAAAGAATATAGATTGAGGTAGAATTTCTGTTTTCCTATTAAATGCCTCACAGTTTTTTTTCTTTGAAATACTTCAATTGATTCATTAATGTTTATGAATGAAACAGACTGAAAATTTTAGAGACTGATCACTTGATTGTCTATTTTCTTAAATAAATGCAAAGAAAACAGAAAGTTCTTTGATGAATATCTTTACAAAAGTAAATAAAAATAGAATTAATTTTGGTAACAAAATTAACTATGATGTAATATTGACTTAGTGATGGCTTTTTAGTGGCCAATGAACTAACTACAATTGGATTATATGAATGTTATTGAAATATACACATTGTCTATCCTCGTATAAATTTATCGACTTAATCCGCTTTAGTGTATCATGGAATTTAAGAAGTCAAATACGAGAATGAATTTTCGAATGCATATATTTTGTACATTCATTGATTTGGGCAGGCGATCAGAGGGATAAAGCGAAGAGAAGAGAGTGAAGTGAAATGATGCACGCTGGAGAAGATGTGTGAGCCAACCGTACTTAATCAAGCGGTAATCAATATTTATAGTCATACAAAAATAAGCTACAATCATGTGATGAGTAGGATAAGAAGTGTACACACATACGCTCATTAAAAATGGTCAAGGCTGATAAGCGATTATGTGACAAGGTGAAAAGGTGACTCAAAAAGAAAAGATAAATTGGACTGTCTAGAACCTAGAATAAGTTATATGGGCTTGACATAGTAACCGACACTACAACTTGATCAATAAATTATCCCATTAGTTAATATTTCATCAAAATGTTTCTATAAATTTAGTTACTTAATAAAATAAGTTTTTGAGTTGTAATTACCAAATGTATCATCTTGCAATGAATAGTTTGATCTTTTTTGTTTATCTTGTGAACAAAACATTTTAGTAACATTTAATTTCACACAATGGAAAACTAAAAAGACCTGAAATTTTATAGTTTAATGGAAATCTTTTTAATTCAGTTAAATGATAGTGAATGACCATTGCTTTACATCACGGAGTTTGAAACATGGGACATTGGATTATATTTTATGGTTATATGTTTGCAACTAGGGCTGTAGGTCCCGGGTTTAGTTGCTCACCAGGCAGCAGGTCCATATTAATCTAGAATTCAAGTTGAAGAATACTTGTAGTTTGTAATAAGAAATTGAAGTTAAAACTATGTAACTGTTCTACTTCACGAACGACTCTTAAAGTGATCTGGTACTCGGATCATATTTTGTCTGATACAGTGATGGTATTCTAAACATAATTTACATAATTTTTCTAAACAAAATCTTACAAAGTTTGTAATAATAAAGAAATTAGAAAAACTATGTACATTTTGCGTTGAAGTGTATTCTCTCTGAGGTAAAAGTTAAGGAATATCAAATAGCTGAGACTAGAGAAGATATATTTAAACAATATAATGTTCTTTAGAATCCACTGTATTCTTTCAGATATAGATTGTTGCATATATACTTCATGCATGCTATAGATGATCCAATTCACTTTAAAAATCACAATTTACATTACTAAATAATGCCTAGTTATAAAATGCCTCAGTATGGAAACTGGATTGGATGGTTATATCCAACTTGAATGTATTAGCGATGCATTTTTATGTCCCAAGTGTTTAATAACTACTCAGATAAAACATGGATTGCTATTATTTTCCATATATTGTTTCTCTTTTTTTAACAGTTTTCGTAATCTAGTTCCAGGTTTGCCGAGCAAATTCTATTATAAATTAGAACCAAGTTCATTATCGTCATCCTATTCATCATCAGTTCTAAATAAAGATGTTGAATTTCGAAGAAAGCCAAAATTGTATCATGATCATCGACAAATGTTATCCAGTGAAGATTGGTACCATATTCCAAGTGGACAGTTGGATTTAGATGAAAAATTGAATGTTGACTCATTTACTGATTTAAATGCACAATTCTATCCGTAAGTCAAATACAACTATCATGAACAGTAATTATTGTCATAATCAACATTTTCTGGTTATACACACTTGACAATAACTAACATTTTATACACCATATCCTTGACTACGTTGCCATAGATTACTTTTTTGCTAATATCGGATTTCACAAAACTGTTGAATCTTAACGGTCAATAACTAAAAACCTCTAGCGTTTTGAAGAGTTTTTAACTTCAATGTTTATGAAATACACCAATCCTTTTCGGTTGAATAATCTTACATCCTAGAATATTGTATGCAAAATGGACATAACAATGCAATATGACCAACTGAGTTTTGGTTGATTGATTAATATATCAAAATATTGTTCAGTGTTTGATTGCTACAAATTTCTGTATTCTTATCTCATGGTTAAAAGTTTAAGCTTATTCAAATGACTATGCTATTCTTAAAAAGACTAGTTAATTTATCAAAAAAGATCTAGCTACAGCTTATCAATCGAAATAGTCCACATCTAGCACATTATCATAAGCCATAATACTTACTTATGCGAATGAAATATTAAAAAGCTTGTACTGTTATACAATCTAATATCACTGAGTATGAAATTCTAATGGCTTGGTTTGTAAATGAATTCAAGGTTTGGGAAAAATCTATTTCAAATAAAATTACATATCAGTTTCAGAGATAACCATTGATACATGAATACAAGTTTAGTATGATTTAGCTTACCACTAAAGTTTACGGAAATAAAGTTTGAGCTTTCATTTTAATCATGATCCTTAAATGATTATACTAGACCAAATACAACTCAATCATAAAAAATACTTAAGGTTATGATATTTGTATTAACCTAATTTAATTATCATATTGATATAAATGTTAGTTCCTTTGGCATATACACATAGAAATAGGTATTTGTACAACTATATGTTCAATTTTACCTCAAATTCTTCGATATAGCTACTAAAGATAAGAAGTGTATAGAAAAACTAGCTAATTGTTACAGTTATCATAATGTCAGTATAAAATGAATGATTATTATTCTTAATATATGTTATTATCAATGTATGTGTTAGAATATATATGTGAAATATGGTTGAAAATTATAGATTGAATATTGTACAATACATGAATGTGAAATATGCAATCATAGTATAGACATTATGAACTTATTTTATACATAGAATATATAGAAAGGTTATTTGAGGAAAGAGAGAAAGAGAGAATTTACTGCACTTTGGTTATAAAGGTATTTAGATATGCATACACATATGAAGTGCAATTTTCACTCCAATAAAATACACTTGTTTCAGGTATAGATATAGGTATTTGCAAATTGTGTAGAAATTCGATAACTTCTTAAAAACCCTATAACATACCTTAGATGTTTTTACCTACCATAAAGTGTGTAATTATATGTAATAAGATATTTATTAAACTATGTTGAAGTTAATGACAAGATGAATAGACAAACTTACACACACACACGCGCGCGCAAGCACACATGGTACAACTCACGTAGTGCTACTTTTTCATCTCACCATATTTCTTCACTTGTTTAAAACAAATATGATATTTAGGCTACTTGTTAGATTAATTGTATTTTAGTTAGTTTTTAAAAGGAAAGTAAGTAATTATTTATATTCATACATAGTGATAAGCTTATCTGCATTAAATGTAACCTAATAAATAGTATACAGTAATGTAAAACTTTGTCTATCCCAAATCTGAAATATATTCAGATTATCTAACAATCAAATAAATGATTGGGTGGTAACAAGAATAACACCAAAAAAAGAAAAGAAAAGGAAGATAATTCGGTAAAGTAAAAATAAACTTATTTAGCTTATCAATGACATTTTCAGTTTATATCTTCAAAAGGGCATATTGAATATAAACCTGTTTTTAGTAAAATTAAATTCATTCAATGTATAATGTTAGATTATGTTAATCAGTGAACTTAATCGTTACTTCAAATAGAATACTTTTAACTAAACATTTTAATTCACCCAGATTTCGATAAGTTTTAGATAAGTATTGTTATTAGGAATTAGTTTGGGTGTTATCAGTATGAATGAATGATTTCATCAAAAATATAAGGCCATATAAAATAGTTTTTAAGCAAAGATGAATAGTGGCTAGCAAGTACATCTAGCTGATCAGTCCCAAATAGGACGAAACGCGCATCATGGATTCCACTGCTAGCCACTATCCATCTTTGCTTAAAAAGCTTGTGACTTAAGGTAATATTGAGGCAATCCGTACAGGATGCACATATGCCAACATGAGACTGATCAATTGCAGTCTTAAATAATAATGGTAAGATACAAATAAAGCAACACTAAGTGAATTCATATAAAGTAGTGTTTTTGATAGATCGATGAAGAGTTTATGTTAGTTTCTTTTAGTATTCAGTTATTTAATTTCATCGAACAAGCCTACCCATCATTTTTATCTAAACAGAATCTAATCATATCCGATCATTTATCGATTTTAGTATTGATGGAAGATGTGTTTGATCAACACCTACTTTCAATATTTAGTCCCTCCCCCCACAAAAAAACCGGTTATTTATGTTAAGATGTATTATACTGACGGATAGTTTACAGGGCAACTCAAAGTATTTAGTATTTGGATACAGACAATGAATATTATATAGGCTGTTGAACTCTCTTAATTTGGTAGAATTTTATAGCCTGTCAGTTTCCTCACTAACGGCATAGATTAACTTCATCGTGAGACAATTAAAAATAATCGTTTTACAAATAAATCTCTATCAACTGATAAAAAGTTCCTTTTTTGACATCGTACCCAAACATTAGTTACTTCAATGCTTATACTTGTAACTTCTTTTAGCGTGTGAGATTATGGATACATGACTTTAAACTTGGTACATTCTGTGAAAGTCCTTGACAAGTCACCAATATTGATATGCTTGACGAAAGAAATGTATTCGCTGGCTATATGGTCGTCAAGTTTTACAAGTGTTCATCTACTGATTAATATTCTAGAAAAACTGTAGACATATAAAAGTACACTAGCCAGGATGAAATAAAGGTCGATTTCAAACAATGATACGTACTGTATAAAATGAGACTTCAGCTAGAGTACAAATAATGATATTGTATTATAGTATTATTATTCTTCATATTTGTTTGCTTCAACTGTAGTAATCTACCGCGTATACGTAAAACAGGTATCGTATCACTCATGTTTAATCTATTTTAAGTTTCTTCGATGAACATTGCCAAAACTACAGTGAAAACGATTATTTTAACCATGTTTGTACGTTTGTTACGAATATGTTTACAACCTGATGACATTTTGATATTCGAAATAGATTAGAAAAGTTAAGATTATTCGAGCTACTGTTTCTTTGTTTAAACTAATAAGAACCATAAATGTCAATGTTTATAGAAATATATATGTGAATCAAATAGTTCGCAATTTTTACCGTTAGTCTCTCTACGTCCTAGTAACCATTGAAGTCTATTGAACAAGTTTGACGTGCATTACTCTCCAGTGATCAATTTTCACACGTTTCCATAAATTAAGAACACAAATTCATTATAAATTGATGTATAGTGATAGACTCCGTCTACAGAAATGTTTTCAACCAACACATACTATTTCTTATGAACGTTATATTTTTAAAATAAAGAAACTGTAACTTTCAATGAAATTGAGTCGTATTTATTAAAAACAATTTTATCAAGACATAATAGCCAAAAGGATAACGTGGTAGTGTTTGAAGCAAATGGTATTGTTTTTAAGTCCTGGAGTAAACATCAACTATGTGATACAGGTACATCCAACTAACGAACTGATGCGTGTCCTGAATTTCACTTCTAGCCAACATCCATCTATGCTTATAATGCTTGTGACTTAAGGCAATATCGAGGCAATCAGTACAGAATGCACTTGAGTTAATAAGAGACTAATCAATTATAGTCCTAAACATCAATGAGAAGTTTCAAACAAACAAATGTTCTCACAAATGTTCCAATATATTCGACCAGTGGTGAGAAAGGAAAGAATTTTATTACATCGTCAATATTTATCAAAATAATACGATTATTTATTTCAAAAAAGAGTTAAAATCAATGTCATATGCTCTTTTATGAAGTTATACGTAAGCGAACTGCTTGAGTGATTAATTTAATTTGCATAAGTCTGTTCACATAAATTGAATAGTAAAATGTATGTTTGTTCAAATGTGTGGCAGTTGGAGTGTAAGGCATTCATTTATAGTCAGGTTATTACTGACTAAAAGTATTCTCAATATAATAACTGATAACTTTTGTATCTTATGACTGAATATACGTTTCTGGGCAAAGGAAACAGAATCGTATTTTTTTAGACTTTGAAATAATGTACTCTTAGATAATATAAACTTATTCCTTAGAAACATCTCTTTTTGAACACGTTTTGTCAATATGAACGTGAAACTGAAGGCCCTAGGTTCGAATCCCGCGAGCGGGATCATGGATGCCCACTGGGACGAAATGGCCTTCCAGTGCTTCCAGGTTTTCAATGGTGGTCTAACATCAATTGGTTCGTGATCTCAATCAAATCTTTTGGATCTTCACAACCTCTATACTGAGCTTATAAACTAAATGAATGTTTCTTTTCATCTTTACGATTGTTCTTATTGTATGTTGTTTAATGATTCTTTATAATATTCCCATTCGATATCACTGAAAATTGAAATATAATGAAGTGATTATGAAGTTTACTGCCTAAGACGTTTTGGCTCTAAGGTAATACTCATAAAGTTATAACTTTACCCCAATTTCATATTTCTCCCTTTCTCAAAAGGTTTGCAACAACTGTTACGAAACGAAATGGAAATCCTTCAACAATTGATTCAAATTCCTATTTTTTAACATTGACACAAGTTCGATTATTGTTATTGTTATTAGATGCCATTATTATATTGTCTAGATGTTTTCAAACATTTGAATTTATGCATAATATTTGGTTTGGTGATATAAAATTAATTAATGCTAATCATTTAATTCATGATCTAAATGATAATTCACAAATAATGATTGATTCATTTGATCATTCTATGCATCATCATTCACAACAAACACAACAAATACATAGTACTTATAATTCGAATTATCATTATCAACCTCAACTTCAAATAAGATCACCTAGACATATACAATTATCTATAGGATCTACACCATTCTTACATCCTGCATCATGCTCATCAAATTTACATGAATCAAATCATCATTCAATCTCTAATGTATGTTGTACTTTTGATTGGTAGAATTAATTCAGTTTAGTTTTGTTTAGATGTTGTTTTTACAAATGTAATAAATAATGTATTCAGTAAGAAATATAAGTACAATATAGGTGAACTTTGTATTTGTGGTTTATTTAAATACCTACCATTACTATCAGTCGGACTGGAAGTAATTTATATATTTTATTAATAAAATAATATTTGAGGAAAAAAATGGTTGCTATATATGAGAACTTTCGGACATAGAAAACAATAATCTTGATAAAAATACATGCATTTGAATATTAATACTTTTTACTGCTTTGTAGAACCACACTTGAACACGTCCTCGTATCCTAATTGAAAGCAAGCGCTGGTTACGAATTATGCATCACACTCTATAAGACCGCATGAACTGGTAGACTGGACAAGGCAGCTTATCTTAAAAAAACTCCGTCGTATAGAAAGTTCGTTTTATAGTCGTTGACAGTAGATTTTCATATTCATCAGAAGTTTGGTCACTCCGAAATTCTAAATTCATTAAAACATGTCTTTGGAATGGAATTTTGAGATTCCTTGTCCGGACTTCCTTTCATTTTTTCCTTTACCAAGTGGCTTGCATGACCATTTTCAACGAACATTTTTCTGAGGAATCCAAGTTCTTCATAAATTGATTCAGTACTACAGATCGTTTTTGTCAGAAGCACATTCAGAAGTGAGATAGAGACCCACTTTATTTTCTAACCTGAAACCTATGGAACGATAGTGTGTATTGAAAAAAAAGTAGCAAGATGCCAACCAATTCAACATTCTCTTCACATGTGACAAATGTGTCAACCCCATAACTTGTGAGTAAGCTCACTTCAATGCTGACTGAAACAAGTTGGTTGTTTTCGAGTTTAGATATGAGACGGTCAGATAGGATTAGGCCCAATCGAGACCCCAACGCGATAACACTCTTTCAAGCGGTCAGTTGATAGGTTTGCATCCATGCTGTTAAAATCAATATAGTCACATAAGTAGCACATAGTTTCAGTTAATGTCATGCTGGTGAATACAGAACCAGGGTGAAGTTACACATTTGAACAAAATGACTCTGGTAAGACTCAATTATCCCGATATTTGTTTTACTACATACATATTGAAGTTTCCATTGAGACAATGCAACAGATTATGTTTACATTGTTCTCAACACTAACTAATCAAATGTTTCTGCTGCTTCCATAATACACTAATGAAGAATATATTCAGCAATTTCAAAACTAGTGAAAATGCATAATCTAAACTACCGTAATTTCAATTTCTGAAGTCTTCACATCAAAGGAACTGGTCTACTTTCACTCGTCACCAGAATTAATTCATTTTCAAAATTATGACAAGTTTATTCCTATGATTGTTTGAAACGTGACTTCATTCAAAACATACTAAGCGGTACATGTGTATTTTCCCTTTTGTTTAATTATAGGAGTTCCCCACATCAATAGGCACAAATCACAATGAAGCAGTGATTGCCAACCAACCTATTCGTGTAAGTGAATATGAAAGAAAATCTTCTACAGGGATTAAAATAACTCAAAACAATCCACCAACACTGAATTTTGATAATGGAACTGGACGTTTTACAGCTTGCTACTGTTGTCTTGATGCTCATTATTTGCTAGTGATAACTGGTATTGGCTTATTATTTATTGGATTAGTTTTAATTTGGGCTACTGATAGACATGTTCGACCAGGATGGCTTTTAGCAAAGTGAGTTGCATTATTTCAATCTTTGTTAAACACTCATCTTTTAAAAAACGAATTCACTGATTTGTAGAAGTTTAAATATGTTCAACATATATAAACGAAAATAACTGCTGCACAATTGTTTCAAATATGGATCATAAGTATGGTTGGGATTAACTCAGAACGAAGATTCCTCTTCATCATTTTCCCACCAGTGTGTTTACTAATAACAACCTATTAGAAATTTTCAGGTAGTCGATAGTATTAAAGGATTAGATAACTCTGATGTCGGTCCCCAAACAGTGATCGATCAATTGTAAACCAACAACAAAAATTCACCACGAAGCTTATGTATATTTCATCTTTATTCTCCTTCTTTCTACACTATCTAATTTAGCTATTTTGATAAATCTTATTGGCATAATTATTATCTTGCAGATCAAACAGGTAGTTTAATGTGAAAATAAGATTTCACATACATAGTTTCCTTTATCATCATGAAGAGAGTAAGAACGAAAATTTGAGCAGAATAACATGAATTCATTTTACTTCGTTTGGTTCTCGTCGGCAGCCCACAAATTGTGATATTTACAAATCATAATTACAAAATACGTTGAGATTACTTAAGTCAAAGAGTTTAGTTGGAAGTTAATTTGAAGGCACATCAGTACAGTACAGTGAGGGCGTAAATAAATTCAATAAAGTGAAAAAATATAAATATACACCTTATCTAAAAGAATATTCTACAACACTGATAGTAACAAAAGTTTAAAGGGCTAGAAACAGGTGGTTACGTAATGTGTAAACTCTGATAATAATTAAGGAAAAAATGAGTCAAGTTCAGTTAATTAAAATAAGATTACTAATCTAGAAGAGAGTCTAAGTGAAAAGATGTAATGATGTAATTAATTGAAAGAACGGGTTGAACAAATCTTTTATTATGTAATGAAGGAATATTTGTCATCAAGGCAAAGAAAGGCTAACAACTATCTTCTTCTGAACATATCAATCAAGTTTCAGACGCTCGATAATAGTGCCTTCAGCAGAAGATTTGAAGATATCGACGTGATGTCCTGTATCCAAGATATGTTTGGTAGTTGCTCTGTTTGAAGTAATTCTTTCTTTAAATCGAAGGCTTTTTGTAACATATTCAAAAAACCCAGATATTCCCACTTTTCCTTTCGGTCAATGTAGCTGCTGTGGGAGTTTCATGTAAATTTATAGATACAGTTGTCGGTAATATAAAGGTTTGCTTATAGATAAGTAATAGTTCTTTGAGTTCTGACACTAGTAAAGGTAAGAGATTACAATCCTGACAAATTATATCAATGGTTTCAAGAAGTAGTATTTTAGTGAACCACTATGTTACATTAAGAGAAACCATGGGCATACCAGCAACATTCAGCAAATTGGGTTGAATCTCTTAATGTATATGTTACCAATCTCTGTTGGACTAGTTCTGGCTTATCGGCTTGTCAGCATTCAACTTTATGATACAGTGAACTGATCACTGATCGGATAGCTCTAAGAGGTATATCATGTTTTTGAATCTTCGCTAGGTCTTACACATTCATACATAAGAGAAAGCCATTAGTGGCGAGATCTTAGACCATTGTAAATAGAATTGACAAACAATTTCTTTTTTAGAAGTTCTCTAATCATGCCTATTATTCTTTTTTCTGACGAGTCAGTTAAATCTTTATTGGATTTTTCTACCTTAAATCTCAGTTTATAGTCTAGGATCAACTTGATCTTAGTAATATTATCAGCTGTGTTCATTAGAAAAACACTTGAACCTTTATCTGGTCGTGATTATGTTTAATGTTTCTTAGAGCTGTCAGATGTTCTTCGGATAGAATTTTCGACTTTGATGTCGAGGAAACAAAATATTGGTTGGCAATATTAACTAACTTCGGTTTGAACCAGAACATTTTCATCCTTATTCATTGGATGTAAATTTTCTATCTGGTCAAATGAATTTTCGAACGGAGTCCTTGTATTAATCTTATATGAACTTGTTTTTGTCATGTGAAATTTTAGTCATAGTAATAAGTCTTCTGTTTCTATATTATTAAGCTTCATAGTTGATAAGTTATAAATAAACTTCAAAGGGTTTTCTGAGAACCCTACATATAGTTGTTCTGTTATCAGAATTCTCGATAGAGATTTATGGAAGATCTTCGAAAACTTGATTTAAACGTAATGGACAACCTTGATAAATTTTATCCGACATACGATTTTTACGTCATTAAACACTTTATCTAAAACACTGGGCTCACCTTTCAATTAAATAATAAGTAAATTCGTTCATTCAATATGAGATTTTGTGATACATTGGAAAACTTCAAGCAGAGAAGGTAGTTTTGTAATTTTCAAATATCATAGGTCTTAAGCAGTTGAAGATTACCAAACAAAATAAAATGAATTCATATCATTCTGTTCAAATATTTTTCTTGCTCTCTTCAAATCAGGGTTTTCTTGAAAATCAACTTAACATGCCTTAAGACATGTCTTCATTAGATTAGAATACAAATAAATCTTATTATATGTTCGAGTTCATCAGATTTGACAATATCTAATTTACTACACAACCTTCATAAATCTTATCTTTTAGTAATGAGAAATTTATAGTTTGCATGTCACTTAACCATATGTAAACTTGTAAAATAGAGTTTAATTTGATTTTGAATGAATAAGATTAAGTGGTTTAGAAATAATAGGTGTCTATTTTTAAAATGTACTTATCAATGAAGAGTGGACTCACTTCATGCTGTTGTTAGTCCAGTGTTTGGATATTGATAATGTGTAAGATGATTACATAATAGTAATAATAATAATCTACATAATAATCTACATCTCAGTCCTAAAGAAGGTTAGTCACGGCTCGGATAGCTCAGTTGTAACTTCTCTGACTGTGAAGCTGGGTGACACGAGATCGAATCCGCCAGGGAGCAACACTTCCCTCAAGATTACAGGTACACCTTGCTGACGAGTACCAAGTAGCACGAAACCCGGGTCCAGGGTTTCCTGTTGACTACCTCCAACCACCATCTAAATAATCTAGAATTCGATACATTTCATGTTAATTTATGATTTCAAAGTAAGTACTTTTCTTAAAAGGTAGAATTCAGTCTTGTGTTTTAATCATTTGCCCCACTACAATGGATTAGAAAAGTTATTAATAGAGAAAGTATAAGCCTAACATTCATGTAAGAGATTTTACAGTATCTTAGTCAATTCATTCATAAAAAATATATTATTGACATTCGGCAAGTTTTACTTTATTCCGATATACCTATTTGATGTAGACCTTCACAAATACAAAATCTATTTTTTCAACTTAATATCAAACTAAATATCATTTATCTTTGTTACCTTCGTAACAATTTTAAAAAAATTGCTTTTATATTGTTTACATTAAGTGTATATTTAGTGCATTTATATTGTCTTATGTATTTTATTGATCACAAAACAACCCTTAGTTCATGATACTCATTAAAAACAGTAAATGAACACTTATACATAAAATTTATAAACAATTTTAATAGTTAAGATCATGAGTTAATAGAAACTAAACCATCATGAGAAACCTGGAAGGAGTGAACGACCGTTTCGTCATATTGTGGGACTCCTCAGCAGTTCACATCCACGATCCTGCCTTGCAACATTCGAACCCACGACATATCAGTCTCGCGCGCAAACATTTACCATCTAGACCACTAAGCAGGCATCCATCACTGTTAATATCTAACTTTAACAAATCCACGAAATTGAGCGACACATCCACCATTGTCATCAGTGAGTTACTATCTCACAACAGACTCGGTTGAATTCCACTGTTCACTGCTTCTCACTAGAACTCCAGGAAATACCTCTTGAAGTCAGTCAATATTGAGAATATGTTGATTAATATCAAAAGGGTTTTGTGGTGGTCTAGCTCCAACTGGCTCATGATCTTAACTATTAAAATTCCTATAATATCCTCAAAACCCCTTCTCATAATATATAATTTACTTAGCAGAAAAGATATACACAGAATTATTAAGTACATGTAATGTAATGATAGTAAAACAAACAAACGAAATCCAAATCAAACTCTGAAATAATATTAAATGGATTAGAAAATGATGTAGGTTTCTCAAAAAACAAATTTAAAACTGAAACCTATGAGAAAAAGAAATAATACTGTAATTTTAATGAAGTTTTGTTCTTTGAACTGGATAGTTTACTTTTAGAGGTTTCATTGTTCTTCTGAATCATATCATCTACTTGAACTACAAATCTTCTCCATTATTTCAATTAAGAACAATTTCGTTATAAATAGATGACTGAAAAGAAATGAAAAAAAACGGCAACTACATAAAACAAATAGATTAAGATGAAACATAGTAACACTAGAGAATAAGTAAATAGAACAATGAAATAGAATGTAAATTAGGTTATTTTGATAAATCAACATGGCGTTCAACCAAAGAAAAGGAAATATTTGATTTATTTAAGCAAGATTAACTTTCAAACTTTTTCTTTCATTTTGGCTATTGACATGAGAGAAATATGATTAACAATAGATAAGTATAAACTAATAGCTTTATGCTTGGGAATATGTTAATTAACAAATTAGAAGAATCATCTGAATGTCAGTTTAAACTCTAGAGAAAAAGAAACTATTCAATAACAAGATTAAAGATATGAATATGATTACTTGGTGAGATTATCATTTATGGACGATTTTTGAGCGATACTAAAGTGACTTCGAGAGTGTTCACCTACAAACTAGGACTAAATGAGGGTTATAAGCCAGTAAGAAGAATTAGAATTAGAATTTTCAATTGATAGTTAAGGTTAGGACTTAGATTTAGGGTTTTCATCACGAACTCTAGTGCCAAAACTCTACTTAGCTAAATGGATGAGTGAACTTCGCACCAAAATCCGAGACGTGTTATCTTATATCTGATTAGTTTATCCATAAATGATAGTCTCGCCGAATACTTTCGGTATCTCCGAAATTATTAAATAAATAGGAA